GTTTTGATTTTCACAACACTTTCACTGACAGGCAAGCAAGGCAAGCAACATCACCCCCAGCTCACAGAAGAGGAAACACTTAGGTTCAGAATGGGAAAGTGACTTGCCCAAGGTCATACAAATCTGAGCCTGTCCCAAGGTCACAGGGAAATTCAGGCTTAGGTCCTCAAACATTTCTCTGCCTGTGGACTCAAACATTCAGTTTCTCCTCCATGCCCTGGTTCCACTGGGTTCTTTGTGCTCCTGTTTACATTGAGATCTTTGTGCAATTCCTAATATGGCCCAGTTTCCCTCACCCAGCATGTTGGATGGAACCCAGCATCTTCAGGCTCCAGCTGGGCCCAGGCCCCTGGGGAAAGGAAAGAAAGAATGATTCCACATGACATGTTCCTCTCTGCTTCTGCCTGTCCAGGATGGGGAACCTCCTCGACAGCGAGTGACTGGGACCCTGGTCCTTGCTGTATTCTCAGCTGTGCTTGGCTCCCTGCAGTTTGGCTACAACATTGGAGTCATCAATGCCCCACAGAAGGTGAGGGGCCTGCAGCTAGCAGGATAGAGGTGCCCAAACAAGGACAGGGAGACTTGAGGGGATGGAAAAGGAAGGGTTTGCAGGGAATCACTACTATGCTATCCCTCCAGGTGATTGAACAAAGCTACAATGAAACATGGCTGGGGAGACAGGGTCCTGAGGGACCTGGCTCCATTCCACCAAGCACCCTTACTACCCTCTGGTCTCTCTCCGTGGCCATCTTTTCTGTGGGCGGCATGATTTCCTCTTTCCTCATTGGCATCATCTCTCAGTGGCTGGGCAGGTATGGGGTTGGAGGGCAAGGGTGGGGGTTAGGAAGGGAGCCACAGCATGGGTCCCTGATACTCACAGCTCCACTCTTTATTTGCTCACTAGGAAAAGGGCTATGTTGGCCAACAATGTCCTGGCAGTGCTGGGGGGCACCCTCATGGGCCTAGCCAATGCTACTGCCTCCTATGAGATACTCATTCTTGGACGGTTCCTGATTGGCGCCTATTCAGGTACCCGTGAGCACCACAGCCCTGCCATGAATCGAACTCTCCTTCACCATACTTGGGTTTCCAAATGGGAGTGGGCAGCTGTACTCAGCCCTCCTGTCTTCCCTCTGCTCAGGGCTAACATCAGGGCTGGTGCCCATGTACGTGGGGGAGATTGCCCCTACTCACCTTCGGGGTGCCTTGGGGACACTCAACCAACTGGCCATCGTCATTGGCATTCTGATCGCCCAGGTAACTAGGCTTGGCCTGGTGGGAGACTAGGCAGGGGTTAGGTTAGGGTGGACCTCCAAGGTCCATCAGGAGGAATGAGTCACCTGCTTTCCTTCCCTACCTTCTCCCATAGGTGCTAGGCTTGGAGTCCATGTTGGGCACTGCTACTCTATGGCCACTGCTCCTGGGCATCACAGTACTTCCTGCCCTTGTGCAGCTGGTCCTGCTGCCCTTCTGCCCTGAGAGCCCCCGCTATCTCTACATCATCCGAAACCTGGAGGGGCCCGCGCGAAAGAGTGAGCTCACACCCTGTGTCTAGCCGAGACCCATACCTCCACCCTAACTTGCTAGTACCTGGCCTCCTCTCAGGCCCCATCAGTCCTGACCCTCCCCACCCCCAGGTCTGAAGCGCCTGACGGGCTGGGCCGATGTGTCTGATGCGCTGGCTGAGCTGAAGGATGAGAAGCGGAAGCTGGAGCGAGAGCGGCCACTGTCCCTGCTCCAACTCCTTGGCAGCCGCACCCACCGGCAGCCCCTAGTTATTGCAGTTGTGTTGCAGCTGAGCCAGCAGCTCTCAGGCATCAATGCTGTACGTATGGAGCAGCCAGCAGAGGAGGGGAGGGGAGGGGAGAAGGGAACTAACTTCCTCCATTAACACTCAGGGTTGGTCCAATTTGGTATGGCTGGAGTGGAAAACAGGACAACTCTGCCATCACCTCTTCTTCTCCCTTACCTCTAGGTTTTCTATTATTCGACTAGCATCTTCGAGTCAGCAGGGGTGGGGCAGCCAGCCTATGCCACCATAGGAGCTGGTGTGGTCAATACTGTCTTCACCTTGGTCTCGGTAACTACTTGCCTCTGGAATGGACTGCACCACAGGCTTCACATCCCTGGGGTTTCTGAAAGGCCCTGCTCTTGGTTATCCCCACCTGTCAACATGCTCCCACTTCCTGTGTCTTGAAGGTCCCCTGCCAAGCCCTAACTCTTCCCACAGGTGTTCTTGGTGGAGCGTGCTGGGCGTCGAACACTTCATCTCCTGGGCCTGTCAGGCATGTGTGGCTGTGCCATCTTAATGACTGTGGCTCTGCTTCTGCTGGTGAGGCCTGGGGGGCTGGGACGGGCCAATAGCCCAACCCATGGGAATGGTCCCAAGGTTCTGTGGCTAGCCAGGATCACACCTTAACATTCATGCCCTCAATCCTGGGGCTGCTATGTGCCAGGACCGTGGGTGCTTGGCTATAGCACAAGTTTGTCAGCCAGGAGAAAGAGCCCCTGGCAAGCCTCAGGAACAATAATTCCTAAGAACTCAGATTTAGAGCCAATGGGGACTCAATCATCATAGGAGTTGAGACCAGAATGTTTCCTCTGCCTTAAATCTGCATGGGGCAGCCAACATAGTGTCAGTGCTCAGAAATGCTCCAGGGCCTGTTCTAATGAAGGGTGGCACGCCCCCCCACAAGCTGCTGGGAAGGGTAGATTTCAATTCTCCTGTAGGTCAAATGCAGGTAAATATCCAGAAAGCTGAAATCAGCTTCACTACCTTCCCTGTCTGGTCCCTAGGAGCGGGTTCCAGCCATGAACTATGTCTCCATCGTGGCCATCTTTGGCTTTGTGGCTTTCTTTGAGATTGGCCCTGGTCCCATACCCTGGTTCATCGTGGCCGAGCTCTTCAGCCAGGGACCCCGCCCAGCGGCCATGGCAGTGGCTGGTTTCTCCAACTGGACCTGCAACTTCATCGTTGGCATGGGTTTCCAGTATGTTGCGGTAGGTCCCCCATCCCTGCCCCAATCTCCCACACTGGAGAATAGAGGGGGCAACACATCACTATCCTGCTTGCTTTCCAGTCAGGGACCCCCAACCCTAGAGTGGTGGTCTTTGGATCAATTTGGTGGAGCTGCTCCACCAGAATCAAAGGAAAATGGGGCAGAACTAGATTGGATAGTAACACAGGTGTCTTTGGAACAAACTAGTGGCATAACTTAACTTAGACCAGGAATAAAATGATTTAAACTTTGTATTAATACCACAAATGGCTGGGAATCTCCTCTGAGTGCAATATGGTGAAGGGATGAGAAATGAGTCTGGGTCCAGATAATCCATTTTTCAGCATAATCCTTCATTTCTGGTCATTTCCATTGCCCCTTGAATTGTCCACCTGTTTCTGCAGTAGTCCCAGCTCCCTATTAGGAGTATTTAGTTCCTGACTTGCCTGAAACTATCCCTTCCATCCCACGCCACCCTACTCTGTCAACACCTTTCTCCACTTATCCCAGGATGCTATGGGTCCCTACGTCTTCCTTCTATTTGCGATCCTCCTGCTTGGCTTCTTCATCTTCACCTTCTTAAAAGTGCCTGAAACCCGCGGCCGGACGTTTGACCAGATCTCAGCCGCCTTCCGTCGGACACCCTCTCTTTTAGAGCAGGAGGTGAAACCCAGCACGGAACTCGAATACTTAGGGCCAGATGAGAATGACTGAGGGGCAAGGCAGGGGTGGGAGAACCAGCTTTCTCCACCCCTGAGATCCCCTTTTCCTCTGCAGCACTTTAACCCTCTCTTCCCCATTACTTCCAGGGTAGAGAAAAAACCCTGCAACCTGGTAGAATTGGGAAGCTGAAGGGAAGGGTGGTCTGAGCACCCCTTCATTCCCCTCGTGTGACTCTTTTGGATTATTTATGTGTTGTGGTTAGGCCGTGACTGTCAGGGTGGGTTGTTTTCCCTCTCCTTTACCACCCCAAACTCCTCTCCAGAATACATCCACCTCCTTTAGGGAAGAAGGGCTAGAGAAGAGGTGGCTCTAGACTGGCTTCTTCAGTGGAACAAACTGAAGCAGAAAGCAGGACATAAGACCAGAAGTTGAGTTTCCCACCACCTTAGACTCCTCCCACAACCTGGCACTTTCACTGAATTATTGCCACATAGAGTCTGGGTGAAGGGGGCTCTGTCTTGACCCCTCTAGGGCAAAGGACTCACCCTCCCCAAATCTAGCCTCTCCTCCCTCCCTCCAGGCTCAGCCTTTCAGAGTAAGAGGGAATACAAAGTATGTACCCTCATGTGGTGAGAAGGGAGAGAAGGCATCTGCCTGTAAACTTGGGGCCTCATCTCAGTTGTTCCCCAAGCCTGCCAAGTGGGGGCCCCAGCTCTTTTCTCCACTCCTGTTCTGGAAGGGTGCTGTCCCCACAGGCTTTTGACCAACTAAGGGCAAAAGGGGATTTGAATGACTGCCTGTAAACAGTGGATGAGAGGAGACTTTGGATATTTTTGTATATGTTTGAATGGGTAGGGAGCAGAAACCAAAAGGCTGTTGTACTAAATATGTATATATAGATTCATCTATAAAGTCACTGTATGGAGAAGAGTGTCCTGTCATGGAGGCACTGGAGGATGGCTGAAACGGGGACTACAATCCACTTCGCCTGCCCCTCTTCCTCCTCTGTCTTGCCTCACCTCCAGGCCTCAGAATCCTCTAGATGTTGTCACTCATGCCCTTTTCCATTACTTTTTATTGCTTTAATAGTAAATGTTCAATAAACAATAGCCACAAGTGCCAGGCACTGCAAGGGAGGCATCATCCCTATTTGACAGGAACAGGGAATCTCAGTGTTGAAGGCACTTATCAAAGCTGCACAGCTAGGGACACCAGAGCAAAGAGTCAAGGGCAGGCCCTGCTGACTGCCCGTATCTTCTCACACTTCACCATCCATGGTTCTGAAGTGAGTTACCTGTGATCCAAATTCTTCAGAACAGAGAAGAGGCAGAGACCAAGACAACAAGAAAGCCTGTTTTTGTTTTTACTGGAGGCTCAGGTGGCACATGACAGTTCATAAAATGGCTTCAGAGGTAGGGGGTTGAAGGGAAACAAAAATAAACTGGGTGGGAAAGAAAAGCAACCAGGAGGAGGTTAAGAGCTGGCTGGTTCCTTCTCAGCCTGACTTAGGGGAGGAAGTTGATGCCTCCGAACACTAAGGATGGAGCCCTTCCTTCAACCCTTGACAGGGAAGAATGGGGGAAAAAATGCAAAAGGCTGTTGCTTTAGCCCTCCTGAGTCTCAAGGAAAAGGGGAAAAGCCGGTCTTCTGATGTCATGAGTTATGGGAAAGGAGGGAGGGGGTGCTGGGTAGGGTACAGGTCAGTTGGAAAAAACTGGCAGATACCTAAAAGAACAAAAGAAACAGACAAATCATGAACATAAACTTAATCATGACCCATTCCCCAGCCTTCTTGCTACCTGCCCTCTGAAAAGAGCAGCCTCTCACCAGATGGTAGTTCTGGGTGTCCTTTGAGTTGGAATCACTCCAGTATGGTGGTGGGGGGGTCCCCACTATTGATGGGGGCTGAGGTCTAGAGAAAATGGTAGTCAATTAGGCTTCTTGTTCTTCAGGAAGCTTCATGCCTTCTGTCTTTCCCTTTCGCCCTCCTTTCCCCAACAATTTCTACCCACAGGCTGGTGCTAAGGCTCCAAGCAGAGCTGAGGTGGGGGTGGGGTTTTGCATGGTTTGATTGTCTCTGCTGGGGCTGATTGATATAGTACCTACACCAAGGATGGCCCTAGCAATCTACATGAAAGGACAGAGACAGGGGAGTGGCACAGTAATAAAGGGAAGGGAAAGGGCCAAAAATGGGACAGCTGGTCCCAGCCATTTCCCCCCACTCCCAATTCCACTATCCTCACCTCTGGGGCTGTGGGCTGCCGGGGGCCAGGGGGCTGCTGCCGTCGCCGCTGGAAGTAGGGGCGGTTTCGTGGGCGCTGGGGCTCAGGCCGGGAACCATCAGTGGGGCCTTGGCTGGGCTTGGTCTCACCATCCCCACCTTCAGTGGTAGGCTGCTGAGGTGGCCTGGGGCGGAAAGGCCTAGGAAAAGAAGCAGAAGCCATGAAGGGACTATGGAACCCAGGGCAGACCACTTCTCTCACCAGGACTTCCCCAGCTTCCCTATTCCCATCTCCAAAAGCCAGGCTTTCAGCTCCATGTAAGTCCTGCTTCCCTCTGGGTACCCTAACCATTAACTTTAGGCACTTGTAAAACTCTTCCCCTTTTGCAAAGACTAAACACCAGACAGCAAAGAGAAACTGAGCCCCAGAAAAGGASTCTTACCTTCGGTATCTGGGCCGGAATCTGGGTGGAGGCACCCGCTCATCTCCCTGCTGTTGGTCCACCTCTAGCGGAGCTGTCTCTTTGGGTTCTACCCCATCAGTGCCCTGGGAATATACAAAGGCCTTGGTGGGCTGTAGGAACCCTGGCTGTCCAGAGGCCAGGTTATCCCTGGCTCTTCCCAGCCCTTAGTTCCACTTCCTTTGTGGACCCTGTAGTCTCTAACCTCACCAATTCCCACTTCTGCCTAAAATTTTAGTAGAGGGCTCCCTTACTGCAGCTTCTCCTCACCTCTATAGGCTGCTGCTGGTTAGGGGGCCGAGGGCCTCGCACAAACCGTCTTCGGTAGAAGAAAGGTGGTGGGCGCCGTCGTCTGGGCCGCTGACCAGAGTCCTCAGCCCGCTCCCCTTCACTACCAGGTTCTGTTCCACCTGAGGGAGCCTCTGCCACCATAGGTGGTGGGGCAGCTGGGCGAGGCCGGGGGATGAATCGGCGGAATCTACGTCGATTGGGGGCATAGCGGCTGCCTTTCACTGGCACCCCCCCAGGCCCAGTTACATTGGCAGCTTCTGCACCCTGGAAATGTGGAAGGGGAATCGTCAGAACCCCCCACCCCATGACAAACGCACAACATTTGCAAACTTGCTGGAATCACTGGAGTCTCTTCTGTCTTCCAGCCCAAGTCCCCTATCTAGCTCTCCTGTGGCTCCTCTTATACTTATCCAGCTCCCCCACCCTGCCAAAGGGCAACAGTGAGTTGGTACTCATCTAGGAAAGAACAGCTTGTCCTTTTGAAATAACTGTTATGGCACCCTCCCCCCGAAGACCATGGGGTGGAGAAAGGGCTGGCAGCTACTGTCCATCTTTTGCTCCAGAGGACTGACTCAGAAGCATCCTGCTGGGGATGGGCCCCATATGGAAAACAGACATGGAAGTGCTTGGTGAACTACTGAGAAGACACCTTGATACTACTGACTGAAGACATGGACACATTATTTAGAACATCCTTAGTGTTAAGACACATCCTGGTGAGAACATAGCCCCATTCCCAGAGGCAGAGCTGGTCCCAGAAGGGTCAAAGCCTGGGCTGACCTCCAGGACACTCCCCCACAAGCCTGGCCAACTCTAGACCCCACAGCAGCCCCCAAACCTTCTCTCCTTCCACGACATCAAACTCCACAGTCTCCCCATCTCCAACGCTGCGCAGAAACTTCCTGGGGTTGTTTCTTTTAATAGCTGTCTGGTTGGGGGAAAGGCCATGAGAAAAGTGAGGGCAGCAAAAGCACAGTCTGTTCCACCCTTGCTGGGTCCACCACCCAATTCCATTCAACATTTTACTTGGGGTCCAGAGCTGGAGGGCAGAGCCAAAGATGGTCAAAGTTTAGTAGGGGAGGGGCTGGGGTGTAGCTTAGTGGTAGAATGCATGCTTAGCATGTGAAAGGCCCTGGATTCTATACCTGGCATTGAAAGAAAGAAAGAAAAATTTAGTAGGGGAAAAGTCAAACTAGGAGCCTGGGGATCCACTGAGAAGTTACCACTTTCCCCAGGATACTCTCTCCCTTCCCTCCTATACCCCTCAGGGACTTCAAAAAGGGAGGCAAGAAAGAGGAAATCAAAAGCAAAACAAAAAGCAGAGACAGTCTTAAATTGCAAAATGGGTAAAACATACTGTGCTTCTTACCTCAATCCCAGAGAGCTCTTTACACCAAGGCAGTGGTTCTCAAACTAGCGAGCAGCAGAATCACCTGGGAGCTTGTTAAAACGGTGCCCAACCCCAAGATCTGACTGATTCGGTAGCTTGGGGCGGGGCCTGAGAATTTGGATATCAGGTGATGCTGCTGGTGGTGCCAGGACCATACTTTGAGAACCACTGCACCCAAGTCTCTTGGACCTGAGTTCTTTCCCTTGGAAAACTGCCTGATTCCTTCCTGTGGTGTTAACAGGTCCCAGTAGGTGGAGAGCATGTAGTGCCCAGAGGGCAAAACACACTGACAGCCGTTCAGTAACCCAACACAATTGGGGCTAATGGTTGATACAAGCACCTGAGGCAGATGGGAGAGTGGCTATTTCCACGTGGGCAGTGGCTATTTCCACGTTGAGGAGCTGGAGAAGGACTGTAGCTAAGGGTTATGGGAAAGGCCTTCAAAGAGAGGGCCGGTTCCTCCCCTCAGAAAGCCAACCTAGCTTACCTGGTGAACAAAGACATCCTCCTTGGTGTCATTCCTGCAGAACAGGATGGGTCGTTAAGGGGGTGATTTTAATAAGACACTCAGTTCCACTAAGGCCTCCCTAGCTGTCCATTCCTAAGATTGGTGGCCCATCCTCTTCAGATTTCAGTTACTTGGAGCATAGACAGGACCCCCAAAAGCTGGTATAGAGAGGTACACCTAAAACCTCAGTGAAAATCCTGGTCTTCATGAGACAGGAATGGAAGAGAAGGCAAAGGCACCTTGAAAGAGCTGGGACAGCTCTTTACCTACAGAGTGCTCCACCTTCTACCCTAGGGCACCTTAGAACCTGCTGGTGCAGGCTATAACTGTTTCTGGCCAACCCCCCACCCCCAGTCCCTACTGGGACTGGAAAATTCCACTATCTCCTTTTTACTTCCAAGGAGCAGGCCAGAGGTGCAGAATGACTTTGGGAAGGGGACAAGGTGTCAGGAACTTGTTCCAAACAGCCACAAAACCTTATGTTCATACTCAGCCTGGAAGTAAATCCACAGTCTGGTTCCCTCTCAACATACAGAGGGACCAAGGATGAGAGAAAAGAATATCCATTCTCTATCATTACCTTGCCTACAATCCTAGTTTATCCTAGAACCCTGTAGGATGAGGGAGAGGAGAAGGACTCTTCACAGGAGCCTGCCTTCACCAGAACAAATGTTCCAGCTTTAAAAGCACTTGGATCTGCACAAAGGTCAGCCTGCTAAGAGGGAACTAAGGCCTCCCAGGAGGGCTTGGCTGGGCAGGGTGCCCRGGCTGGGGAAGGCTGCACTTGGGGGCTCTGCTCAGAATCCACCACTACAGCCTCTCCCAGGCTGGAAGGGGAGGGGCTGCCAAGAGAAGAGAAGCAACAATCTCCGGCTGGACTACCTCCTTCCTCCCTCCCCCTACAGCCAGTCTCAGTCCCATCAGGTGGGGGATTCAAATGAGTCACAGCTCTTTAAGGGAGASGAGTCGTGAGGGTGCCTCAAGTGCTTCCCTTAACAGGAAATCAGTGAAGATTCTAGCCCAGAGCCCTGAGGTAGAGAGAGCGCCATAATTCCACCCCCAAAGTACAGCAAACTAAAAATAATGAAAATTCCTGAAGGTGAGACAGAAGCTAGGAAGGTCAGAACCAGGTTTGCCAAGTTCCTGGATCATTAATCCTCTGCTTGCCCTTGAAGATGTGGAGGAGGCTTCATCTTGCCACTAAGCACACGTTTGTGCTGTGGTTAAAGACTCAACCAGCGTCAGCTGGACATTGCAACCATGTGCCTTGGCAGGGGTAGAGATGAGGTTGGGAAGGTGTCCAGTCCCACAGACCAGTTCGAAGACACCCATTCCACCCTCTCCCTGGGTTCCTCGGATACCTGTTGATGAATCCGTAACCATTCCGGACGTTGAACCATTTGACAGTGCCCAGGACTTGGATTGCTGCCAGGCAGAGATGCAGTGGGGATAGTAAGTGGGGGGAAGAGATGGAGTTGGACTGAGTTTTGAGACACTCCAAAAAAATCTAACCTGCCTTCCTATTAAGCTTATTTTCAAGACAACTAGGTTTCACTATTAGCTTTAAGGTATTCTTATCCCAATTCCACCAAATTGAATCATCCACACAGGAGGCTTAAGCTTTCAAAACCCAACTCTAGGGCATGTTCCTCTCATGCTATATAATTCCAGGTCCTTCACCTAGAACCGGTACTCACCTGATCCACTGAGTGCCACCCTCAGGTTATAACTCAAGAGCTTTTCTAGCCCTCCCAATGTAAGGGTCCCCAGTGCACCTGCTTCCCAAGTCAGAGTTTACCCCATGCTAACGAAGTCAACTGGGCCAAGCCTCCCGCCCCAGAGGCGTGGTCGAAATCAGGGTTTATTCTCCACCCCAAGGCCTTGGCTGAACCTGCTAGCCCTGGCTCTGCTCTGCCCCACCCCTACCCCCACCCCCACCCCCGGAAGGCATAGCAAGATTTCCCTCCAGGGGAATCCACTTTGGTCCGCAGTTCCCAGCTCAGGCCCATGGGCCTCGGGGCCAAGCCCATCTTCGGCTCTCTAGACCCTGTCAGGCCCCACGCTGCCCCTCCCCCAGTCCGCCTACCCCTTAGAGCCGCCCTGGCGCGTGCGCCCCCCCTCACCCAGCACCGGCTTGTCCGCCTGACTCCGAGCCGGGGGCGCGGGGGTCCCCGAGGCCGCCGTCACCGGGTTGCCAGGGGTGCGTGAGCCTGGCGCCGAGGGGGTCCCAGCAGCGGGGCCAGAGGCGGCTCCGCCCCCGCCGCCGCTGCCCGCCCCGCCGCCTGCTTTCTGCGGCTCTCCCGCGGGCACCGGTACCACCACCGCTACCACCCCTGCCGCCGTCGCGGGCACCGTCGCCGCGGGGGCCGCTGTCGCCACCACTGCCGCCTCCACCTCGCTCATCCCGCCGGGTCCAGTACCGGCCCCCGCCGCCACCTCCTCCTCCTCCTCCGCCGCCACCGCCACCGCCCCGGCCCCTCCCCCCGGCTCGCGGACCCGCCGCCCCGCTCGGTCCTCGCGCCCCGAGCCTCGCCCGCACGGCGGCAGCGGGCCCTGAGCCCAGGCCAATAGCAGCCGGCTGCCGCGGCGCGCGCAAGCCCCGCCTCCCGACCACAGGCCAATCCTAGTCGCGCAGCCCCCCGACCCTCACACCAGCCCCGCCTCCTGGACTTCGCACCGAGGCGGAGGCCCCCGCCCGCTGCCCCGTAAGTACACCTGGGCCCCGCCCCTCTTGCGCCACGTGACCTCTCCCAGCTCAGCCCATTGGCTGACAGCTATTTCCCCTCCCCCCTCCGCCCCTTTCCACCGGCCGCGGGAAATCAAACGGGCTGGTTGCGCCCCCAACCGCCACCTGGCCTCTGCGCGAAAGGCGGGGCCGGGGGCGCYGCTCCGAAGGTTGCCCCTGACGACCTAGGTGGAGCGCGGCTGTCAGCAGCCTTAGGTCGGGCGGTGAGAGGCACTGCTAGCCCTCAACCTCTAGACCGACCTAGCCCAGACCCTGGCAGGCGTAGACGCCTTCTCCGGGACACCACCGTTGATTCATTCTCCTTAGAGGATGTCCCGGCACATGGGGCGACTGTATCTGCTCGCAGGGCAGGCTGGAAAGCACCGCAAAACGATTTAACCAACTCAACAGTTGTTTTCTGGGCCCCTCGTTTTTATTTTGTTTTTGAGACAAAGGGTACATGTAGCACACAAAGCAGTTTTGCTGAGTTTTGATATGTCTATCCATGTAGGCAACACCCTAACCAAGATATGTTTTCCTTGCCCCAGGAAGTTCCCTGGAGCCTCTTCCAGGTAATTCCAGCATCTTCACCGGTCACAATTCTAATGTCTCCCACCGTATTTCTCTCACGTCTATGTATGGGGTGCTGAAGTGTCTGGTTTTGGCACATGCAGTTTCCTCTGCTTCCAATGCGCTCCCCCACCCCGTGTCTGTTAGAGTGGCTCTCTTCAAATATCAGCGTACATATCACGCCTCACTATCACATCATACATTATTTTTAATGCACTTTTGAAAATATGAAATGATCCTATTTGCTTATTAATTCTACTCCAACCCTACGCACATACGCTAGTGCACAATGCTCAATATTTATTGAATAAATAAATGATCCCCAATTCACAAATGAGTAGACAGATGACTGGTGCGCAGCTGTCTCAGGTTTCTTGAAGCCCGAGAAGTCCGTCCTAGGAGCCGCAATCTCCCTCCCTAAATAATGAGGCTCTAGAAGTCGCTCCTCCAGAACGCCCACCCGGAAGGACGCGAGTCTCGCTGGGCAGGGCGTATTTTTGGTTAGGGCAGCGGGTCCCAGAGCAAGACACATGCCTCCACGCGCATCTCGTTCTGCCCCAAGTCTGCTTCCCCAGTGCTAGGCGTATTGGCTAGGGCCCGCGTCCCGCAGCCGCCGCAGCCACAGCCTCTCCCGATCCCGGCGCGCCCTCTGCCGGCCGGTCTTAAAGGCTGCCAAATAGCGCTTCTTTGGCGGTCCACCAGCTACTAGCCTACCTGATTGATGCACACCACCCATCCCGCCAGATGATTCGATTTCCAGGGCATTGGGCACAGTGGACAGAAAAAGAGAAAAGATAAGCAAACGACTACATCGCAAGGCGAGGCGGTGAAGGATACAGAAATGACCACCCCTTCCTCAAACATGTTAAGGACCAGTTTATCTGTGGTAAGCCCTGAGCTTAAGGGAAGCTGAGACCAAGACTGGGGAAAGCAAGCAAGATACCTCATGGGGTGACCTCTGCAGCAAAGAATCACATGGGAAATACACGGAGTTCATTTGAAAGGTAAGATGAAAGGAAGCTCAGATGAAGGGAGTGTGTGTCTTTACTTTCGTAGTGAAATTAAGAAAAAGTCAGGAAAGCAGAGGCATGGGGTATTGCAGGGAAAAGTACCCTTGGCAGACAAACTCGAATACAACATTCATACTGAATAGAGGAAAAACTGAAAGCTTTTCCTCTAAAACCAGAAACAAGGCAAGGTTGTCCACTCTCACCAGTTCTATTCAATGTAGTTCTTRAAACTAGCCAGAGCAATCAGTCACAATGAGAAGGAAAATAAAGGGATACAAATAGGAAAAAAAGAAGTCAAACTATCACTTTTTGTTGATGATAAGATCCTTTATCTAGAAGACCCCCAAAATTCGACCAGAAGACTCCTAGAGCCAATAAATGAATTTAGCAAAGTCAAAGGATACAAGATAAACAATCATAGATCAATAACTTTTCTACATTCCAACAGCAATTCAGCTGAGAAGAAATCAGGGAAATTATCCCTTTTGCAATATTCTCAAAAAAGCTGGGGGGTGGTTAATCTAACCAAGGAAGTGAAAGTTCTCTGCAATGAAAACTATTGGACACTGAAAAAAGAAATTGAAGAAGATCCCAGAAGATGGATAGGCAGAATTAATATTGTCAAAATGGCCACACTACCAAAAGCAATATACAGATTCAATGCAATCCCTATCAAAATACCAATGGCTTAAATTCATTTGGAAGAGTAGCCAAAGCCATTCGGAATAAGAAAAGTGATGGAGGAGACATCACAATATCCAATCTCAAATTATGCTGTAGAGCTATAGTAGCAAAAACAACATGGCATTGACATCAAAATAGACGCAAAAACCAATAGAATAGAATAGCAGACACAGAAGCAAATTCACATACTTACAGAGAACCATTTGTTAAAAAGGCTTTCAACTCTTCAACATACATTTTTGGCACCTTTTAAACAAATGGTTCTGGGGCCCGGCATGGTAGCACACACCTATAATCCCAGTTACTAGAGAGGCTGAGGCAGGAGGAGCAAAAGTTTGAAGGCAGCCTCAGAAACTTAGGGAGAAAAAAAATAAAAAGGGCTAAGGATATAACTCAGTGGTAGAGCACCCCTGGGTTCAATCTCCAGTACCAAAACAAAACAAAAGCAAATGGTGCTGGAGAAACTGGATATCTACATGTAGAAAAATTAAATTAGATCCCTTTCACCTCCACAAAAGTCAATTCAAAAATGGATCAAAGACTTAGGAATTATGGGCTGGGGATGTGGCTCAAGCGGTAGTGCGCTCGCCTGGCATGCGTGCGGCCCGGGTTCGATCCTCAGCACCACATACCAACAAAAATGTTGTGTCCGCCGAGAACTAAAAAATAAATAATAAAAATTCTCTCTCTCTCCTCTCTCGCTCTCTCTTTAAAAAAAAAAAGAATTCAACTCTTATTTGGTTTTAAACATCTTTCCTTTAAAAAAAAAAAAACTTAGGAATTAGACTAGAAACGTTGCAATTGCTAGAAGAAAACATATGGTCAAAGCTCAAGAAATAAAACCAAGAATCAATAAGTGGGATGCCATCAAGTTTAGAAGCTTTTGCATGGCAAAGAAAATGAGAGTAAAGAGAGAGCCTACAGAATAGGAAAAAAATCTTTGTCAGCTATTCCTCTGACAAGGGATTAATATCCAGAATATATAAAGAACTCAAAAAAACTCAATGCCAAAAAACCCCCAAATAACCCAATTAATAAATGGACAAAAGAACAGAAATTTATCAAAAGAAGAAACACAAAAGACCAACAAATATATGAAAAAATGTTCAACATCTCTAGCAATCAGGGAAATGCAAATCAAAAGATTTCATCTCACTCCAGTCAGAATACCAATGATCAAGAATACAAATAATAAATGCTGGTGAGGATATTAGGGAAAAGGTACAGCCATACACTGTTGTTGGGACTGCAAATTAGTATAACCACTTTGGAAAACAGTGTGGAGATTCCTCCAAAAACTAGTGATGGAATCACTATATGATCCAGCAATCTCACTCCTCAGTACTTATGCAAAAGAATTAAAATCAGAATATTATAGTAATACAGCTACTACAATGTTTCTAGCAGCGCAATTCACAACAGCCAAATCATGGAATCAATCCAAATGCTCATCAGTAGATGAATGGATCAAGAAAATGTGGTAGATATACACAATGGAGTTTTACTCAGTCATAAAGAAGAACAAAACTATGGCACTTGCCAGTAAATGATGAATATGGAGAAAAATCAGACTAAGTGAAATAAGCCAGACCCAGAAAATCAAGGGTGGAAAGTTTTCTCTTATATGTGATAGCTAAAAGCACAGTAAGGGAAAGAAGGTAGTGGGGAATGGGATTAGATATAATAAAGATACAGTGAAGATCAGTGAAGGAGAATGAGAGGGAGGGAGGAAGAATGGGAAAGAGAAAGAAATATGGGCTGAATCTAATGGAATCATGCTATATACATATATAAATATACCAAAGCTTATATCTCCTTCATGTAGAAATGTAGAAAGTACCAATAAAAAATGAATAAATAAAGGAGTAAAGGGAAGATAAGTAGAAAGGGCAGAAAAAGGGCAGGGAGGAGGAAAGAAAAGGGGGAAGGGAAATGGGGGTTGAAATTAAATTCCTTGTATGTATAATTTTGTCAAAAGGGATCCAAATACTATGTATAATTATAATGCTCTTAAAAAAAGAACTATAATGCTGACTCTGTGAAAACAGTAATATGAATAGATGCAACATAGCAATGTTTAATTCAGATTATTTTAATCATTTTTTGGGGGGTGCTAGGGATTGAACTCAGGGGCACTTGACCACTGAGCCACCTCTTCAGCCCTATTTTGTATTTCATTTAGAGACAGGGTCTCCCTGAGTTGCTTAGTGCCTCGCCGTTGCTGAGGCTGGCTTTGAACTTGCAATCCTCCTGTGTCAGCCTCCCAAGCCACTAGGATTACAGGCGTGCACCACCACTCCTGGCTTAATCATTTTTTTATAATAAAACAACTGTGCATCAAGAAAAAAAAATACTCTTGGCAGATGAACACCACCTATTCATGGAACAGTGTAACATACACTCTATCCCCAAGGAGAAGTACTAGCAGATGCCACCAAGAG